CACAGAGATTATCAGCGGATTGTCTTCAGATTCTCCAAAGACGATCCTATTCAAGATTATAATCTTAATACTGTCACTTACGGAATCTCTTCCTCCCCCTTTCATGCCATTAGAACTTTAATCCAATTGGCTCAGAATCACGAAGATCAATTTCCTCGAGCTTCAAAGGTTATAAAAACCAACGTTTATGTTGATGACATATTGTCAGCTGATTCTGTCGAAGCAGCTTTGAGCCTTCAAAAGGAATTGATCGATCTCCTTGTCTTAGGGGGTTTTCAACTCCGGAAATGGGGTAGTAATAATCCCCTTCTTATTTCCAATTTAGATAAATCGCTCTTCCAAGTTCCGGTTTCGCTAGACAAAGAAAGTGATCAAACTATTAAAATTTTGGGTCTGCAATGGTGTCCCACCTCAGATACATTTACTTATAAAATTGATCCCAGACAGCATGCATGTACTAAACGTAACTTACTGTCCGATTTGGCACGAATATTCGATCCTCTCGGGTTCTTAGCTCCCGTTACTGTCTTTATCAAATTACTAATTCAAAAACTATGGTCTTCTGGAATAGAATGGGACGAACTGGCTCCAGAGTCGGTGTCGTCCGCTTGGGCCTTATACAAGGAGAATCTGCCACTCTTGTCCTCTTTATCTATTCCTCGAAAGGTTACCTTCGATGACATGAAATTCTGCGAATTACATGGATTCTGTGATAGTTCTGAAAGTGCCTACGCCGCTGTAATTTGTACGAGCGGTGCTAGGTAACCAAGCAAAAACTTTCTTCTTGTGTGCCAAATCAAGAATAGCCCCACTCAAGAAAATTTCAATTCCTCGTTTAGAGCTATGCTCGGCTGTACTCTTAGCAGATTTGATCGAAATTGTGATGCAGTCGTATCGAAATATGTTACCCATCAGCTCAGTCTTCGCATGGTCTGATTTAACTGTTACGCTTTCGTGGATTCAATCTTCACCCCATAAGTGGGCAACATTTGTTAGCAACAGGGTTACCCATATTCAGGAAAAAGTATCTCCTAGTCAATGGTCTCGTGTGTCTACACAAGAAAATCCTGCTGACTGTGCTACCCGCGGCATTGTACCCTGCGAATTACTCCACTTAGAAAAATGGTGGGCGGGGTCATCATTCCTAACTTCCCATTGTGACCCTTGGTCAAACGAGTCTCTAAAGATCAACGAAGTGACATTAGAAAGACGAAAGACGACTCTTACTATTTCGACTACAGAGAAATGTTGCTGGGATAACCTAATAGACCGGTTCTCATCTTTATCAAAATTGAATCGCATTTTCGCTTACATAATGCGCTTCATCTCAAAGACTAAAAATCCAACGCTGTTGCTAAATGAATGTTTTTCTCTATCTGAACTCGACCAAGCCCTCTTAATTTTAATCAAGCAAATTCAAAGATTTTATTATAACAAGGAAATAACTGCACTCTCTAAAAAAGACTCGTATAATTTGAAGTCCTTCCCGAAATATTTTCGCAAGCTCACTCCCTTTCTTGACCAAGATGGTATTCTCAGGGTGGGCGGACGTTTACATCACTCTTCTATTCCATATAGTAATAAACACCAGTGTTTACTTCCAAGTGATCATAGGCTGACTCGTCTGATTGTGGAGCATACACATGTTAAGTACTTACACGTTGGGCTACAAACTACGCAATATTTACTTAGCCAAAGATATTGGATCCCGTCCTCTAAAAGAGTGATACGAAAGGTCATCTCTTCTTGCGTTCGTTGTTTTAAAAGTAACCCCTGTTCTTCTCCTCCGGTAATGGGTAACTTACCTGCAGTGCGAGTAAATGAAATAAAATGCTTCACCAAATGTGGGGTTGGTTTCGGTGGTCCATTCCAAGTAACGATGGGCAAAATGCGAAGCTCGAAAAGTTATAAGCCTTATATTTGTCTTTTCGTATGCTTGGCCACCAAGGCTCTGCATTTAGAACTCGCTACTGAATTGTCTACCGATGCATTCCTTGCGGCGTTAAGACGGTTTATTTCTCGGGGTGGTCTTGTCACGGACATCTACAGTGATTGTGGCACTAATTTTATTGGAGCCGCCAAACAACTCGCTCAAAAGATGCATAATGCTTCCACACGAGAAGGCATAAGGTGGCACTTTAACCCTCCTTCGGCGCCAACTTTTGGTGGAATTTGGGAGAGTAACATCAAGTGAGTGAAAACCCATATTGTTCGGGTGGTAGGAACCCATATTTTAACCTACGAAGAGTTCATCACAGTTCTGACCGCAATTGAAGCGATTCTAAATTCTAGACCCTAACGATTTAAGCGTTCTAACTCCTAGTCATTTTCTAAATCTTCAACCTCTTAACACATTTATTGAATCAGATTTAACCGAAGTTAAATTGGGAAGACTCTCGCGTTGGCAGTTATTATAGCGCATGCATCAGGATTTTTGGAAAAGGTGGCATCGTGAGTATCTTCACACCATTAACCAAAAATCCAAGTGGTATGATCCCTCCACTGATATTAAAATTGACACCCTGGTGTTAATTAGAGAAAATCTCTCTCCTCCATTGGCTTGGCATTTGGGGCGCGTAACAGAAGTCCATCCGGGTACGGACGGAGTGGTGAGAGTAGTCTCTATTAAGACGGCAAAGGGTATGCTCAAACGCCCAGTTTTAAAGGTTTGTCCTTTGCCAATATATTAGTTATTAATGTTTTCCAATATATTAATTTTTAATTTTAAGCTTAGAATTCGCGTGGGTATCGGAATTGTTATTACGGTTTTTGTTAATTATTTTCTTTTTTTTTGGATTCATTAATAAAATGTTGCCATTTTAGGTGGGCGGTATGTTCCGTCCAGTCGGAATTGTTTTGTTTTATTTTTCCTCTTTAATTTTTGTAATTGGGGAATTTTTATATCGAGCAAATTGAAATTGGTTTTCTTTTAATTAATTCCTGCGGTTATATTCTCCGCGTATTTTGGTGACAATCTTACTGGGTATATGGCCAGAAAAACTCGTATGTCACTTGGGTGTCGTACTCCGCTGTGATCGGGACTAGTACGACTCAGGCAGAGACCAACGTGAGAGCATTTTCCGCGTGCCAGAATTAATATCTCGAGTGCCGTCAAGTATTGCGAAATTGTGCCGGTCAACAGCCAGAGATACATCAAGGTAGGCCAAGAAGAAAAGAGATTGTCATTTTTCGTCTCGTTACATCAATATATTATTTTTTGAATCGCCCCGTTATTTCTAGCTTCAACTAAACAAAAAATTACAGTCCATTGCTCTTTCTCGTCCATATATGGTTAAAAAAAATTCATGCAATCAGACAAATAATGCTTTGATATAATCAAAATAAATGTTTTTGGTTAAGTAAATTAAAACCTATTGTATCGGAAATATATTTTTGTACTCCCTACTTTAAAATACCCATTTAAGCGCATACAAGTTCACAAAGCAATGTTGTTGACTGACAGTGGGGGATATTTCATAGAACTTTCAATAAAGAAAGAAATCTGACATCAATTTTTTTTCAAAACTTTGTTGTTCCGCTGAAATATATTAAACAAAGATAAACAAAAATGAGGTAATTGCAAATGGGTATAATTCCGACATTCTAAATAAAAATGAATAACCATCTGAAATACAGTTTTTTTAAAACTCGGTTATCATCGCTACTTGGAATATATTAAACAAAGATAAGCTTGTGTCACTACAAATGGCTGTAATTCCGATTTTAATATCATGATTCTAAGTTCAAAATTTCAAACACATGTCAGATGCTTTAAAAAACCAAAAATTGGGGGAAATATATTTAAATAACACGCGACATCTACAGAACATATTAACAAATTAAATACCTAATAAAATAAGTGTCAGTAAATTCTTCAGAGGTTTACCAATGCTGCGATCTGCGTAGTATGTTCTGCAGGTACAGCCGCTCTACAAGTTACAAAACCACTAAGTTATTCTTTTTAGTATGTACTTTAAAAAATATATTGATATATATTTTTTTGGTAATTAATATTGTTTTAGTGTATTGCTGGAACATTTTAATAGATTTTTTTTTCAATTTGATTTATACTAGTCCAATAAAGGAGCTAATGCGTAAGGCAAAAGTAAAAATAATAAAAGCTGGTTAACTTTGCAGCAGTATCTGTACGATATTAGGGACATGATATGTCCCGAGATTTGTCCTACAGGTGAAGCAATAAATATACGTGCAATTTTGTTAACAAAATGAGACAAACACCTTTTGGCAATGGTAGGTGGAAAGATAGGTTTCTTAATATTTTAAAAAGTATTGTTTACTTCACTTAATTTTAGTATATTATGCAACACGTTTGATCAATGCCATTTTACTCACAAACATACCATCGGCGTTTAAAATCAACCTAAAATATCCATGAACATCTGCTAACCCGTTGCTAAAGTATCTACCGAAAATGCCCGAAGTGGCAGGCGATCGTGGTTAACGGAGCTGACGTTTTAAAAGTGATATTACCACACGCTTGATCCGTGCATGATTAGGTTTTTGGAGAAGAGAACAGAAAAAATGATTTTTGGCATTATTTTTAGTATTTATTTTTCAATAAAATAAACACTTCTGGAATTAGTGAAATGTCTATAGACAGTTAGGAATGGGTCATTTCTCAACTACCATTCTACGGTTCCACGTCGACGACGATGCAAGAAATCATTTGTTAATAAAGAATTTGGAAAAACAATTTTCTCCTTGCAATATTCATATTTTTTGATACTTATTTTGAATATAAAGTCAAATTTTCTCAAATCATAAAAATTGAATGAATTTTGACTCGCAAGCACCGTCAAATATTAGTACCGTTCAATTTTTTGCCCAAAGAAAATTCCTTCAAATAAAATTTATCAGCTTATATTTAAAAGTTTTGATAAAACCCCCTCCAGCACTAACTATCAACAAAAATTGTCCGACATTTTGCATAATACGATCTTAGAGATAACAATTCAATCTTTATTACACATTACCCAGACCTTTCCTCTGCGTCAATATTCTGTCCCCTCCGTCGGGAAGTTGTCGGAAAGTTATCTGAAAGCCAAAGTTGCGGATGAGAACAAAGTTTTTAAGGACGAGGCGTAGGTTGACACAAATACAAATGTTTACCATAGTAAATGACTATCGAAGGACTTATTAGCGATTTCAACAGTTGAATTAGATTTTCCACGCGCTCGAAGCATAGCATTAACCAGCAACGCATAATGAAATATTTGCGGGAAACTTATGGCGCATGTCGAGATTGCAGCGAGCAGTAAATTCCTGCGTCGCGTCAATTGGATGGCGCAACTTGGGATATCAGTCAGCCGATGCGTGAATTAGTTAGCTTAGAAATGCATTTTACACATAATGTAATAGACGCTGGACTTGCGTAGAGGTAAAGTCATGAATATATGGTAGGCCGTGAAGCGCCGAACTTGACAACGTTCTGTGTGGTTCGTGGTTTTAAGGTTATGTTCAGTTCAGTTATTATGTCAATCGTTTGACGTTTCAACATTATTTTTACTTTTACCAAATTTATGTTTTGCATATAGGTGTCAGGGAAAAGATCAGAATGAGTAAACATCTCTTTCGTATAAAAAGTTTTCTTTTTTGTATTAATAAAATGTCCTAAATATACCTCAAATTATACAAGTGCAATAAATCATGAATCGCACATTTTCTTTGCCAAAATAAAACTATATTAGACAACAGGAGATCGGTTAAGTATATAGGGACAATTTTGTTACCTCTATCAGCTTAAAAGTTTCCGAAAAACGCTTTAAAAAATCTGAGATAATGACAGTCGATATCTATAAAAACGAGGAAGAGTATTTGGGAGAATTTTCACTTAAGACGCCGAGATTGCGTGAAGATGCAATGCCCCACATTTATCCTAATTAACCCAAATACTTATTAACACCTTAAACAACTTCTAGGATTGACGCAGAGGCAAGAAGAAACAAAAATGGAATTTCTAGGTCAAAGAACAAAAAGTGTACTTATTTGGTTAAATCTGCGTGTTGGCGACTTAGACAATGATAAAAATGTGTTCTGAGAATTTATTTGATGACACAACTAGACAATATTTTTGCTAGATGCAATTTTATGAATATATTCAAAAAGCTATAGAGTATGTGACTCAGGATTCTGCGAATTTAATGTTTTAGCAGTTGACACCCGACCAGTTGCACAAAAAGTACAGCATGGCAACTATTCTGTTTTCATTAATAGATTGCCAGTCTTCATAAAATTTTCATACAGGTTTCCCCTATTTTCTTGGAACACACATTTAAAAAAAAATCCCGTGCTCCTGTGATTCATCGTCGGTATGTCGGCAGAGAACTGCTGGACCACTTGCATTGAAGTGTGCAGTGTTGTTTTTTGTAACTTCACGGCTGGTCGCAGATAATATAGGCGGGTTTGGTAGAGGAGCATAGTTTAATTTTTACAACTGTTTCTGTCTTACAATAATTTATCACGAATTGTAGCGCACTAAAGGTAATGCTATCATTACCAATTTTCAGACTACTTAACTTAATTAACTATTGGCGTAGTCAAATGTGGAAAACCATTTAAGTAATAAATTAAACAACTCTTTTAACAAAAAAAATTAATTCTAAATATCAAGATTGCCATGATAACTTATATTGTGTTTACCTGAGAAAACACCATACATGATGCTTGAACGTTTACTGTTTTAAATTGTTTAAATTTACCTAACATTATTGCATTAAATATATCTCATTTGCATACTATACTTTTTCTACTAATGTTAGTTTTTGCGTAAATTTTTGCAAAACAGGAATTCATTCACTGACATGACCGCCAGAATTGACCAACGTCAAAAAAAGCGTGGGAAATATCTCCGCAAACATCCGATTGCTCTCAAATCCTGGCGGTAAAATCCCGGAAATGTCCGAAGTGGCTCGGATTCGTGGGAAACGAAACAACTGACGTGGTAAAGTGACGCTTCCCGCACGCTAGATCGGTGGGTAATTAGGTATTTTACAGACGGGAGTAGAAAAACACTTTTTTTGCACTTGTTGCATAATATACTATTAAAGAAACAAAGTTAATTAAAAAGCTTTATGTCTTTTTTGAGTTACTTACCCACATTTATTTCCGAAAATGTTTGCACCGCTTGCTTTGCAGAGATAGAGGAAAATGCATTAAGCAAAGACTATTTTAATTTGCCTCCGTTATAAAACCGCTTCTTTCACTGTAACTATGGTTAGAAAATTTAAGGCCCATGAGGAAACCTTTTGGCTGTTGCTTCTACATTGATATTGAAAAAAAGAAACAGAAATAGAACATCTCCTTTTCAGTGTGCCTAGCCCGTCAGCTAAAAAGGCTCGGACGGTTAGATTTGTTTGCTGGTGACTATAAATAATTCTGTTTTAACGTCCGGCTTGTTTAAAGTTTCCTTGCTACGTTACAGTTTTCCCTCAAACTTTACTCATTATTCCGGAATGTGTCCCACTTTCTGAAAACTCGTTATCGACTCGTTTCGGTTTGGGAGATTTCACTTTCCGTTTTCGTCAAAAACAATAAATGCCAGTTTTGGTTAGCTTTCGCCAATTTGAATCAGCCCTTAGAATTGAAATGTACAATTTTTCCTGATTCATCCCAATCGGATCTGATTGATCAGCAAAAATGAAGCTTGACATCATGGTTCGATTATTATCGTCCTCAAGAAATTAAAGATGGTCGAATCAAACTTTATAGTGCATAAAAAACTGTCGAAAACGAAAAAGAGGAATCAGTATCAGATGAAGTACAAATACAAGTATGTACCAGAAAAGCAATCTTCAAAATATGCTGGAACACCAAAGTTACAAAAAATAAAACAATAAGCCACAAAAAGTCCGATATTTCAATGATAAAAAGGTTAATAATTTCATCGTCCATCTAGACTCCGTCCCGAAAAGAACGTGCATTGAAAAGAAGCAAGAGAAGATAAATAACACAAGTATATCATAATCAACTCAGAGATGTCAATGAAGTCGCTTGGTTATATCAGTGACGGTTACATTCTCAGTGAATATCGAAACTCATCCAGGAATAATTATCACCAAACGAAATATCCGCTGCCCAGAATGCTACGATTCATGAACAATGCAAACTGATGCGGAGTGGTTTTAGAAAATTTTAAAAAGAGATTCAAAGTCTGAAAAGGAGAAACTACGTTCAGGTAGTGAAGTTTATGTAGGTAGGTAGTGTAGCACAAGCAGCTCTTATCCCATATCTCCCCAGCCTCGTCAATAAGTTTTGATCAACAGTGTCAAATAATTTTGAAAAATCAGTATGGGGCTCACGGTTCATCTCAAAATTGTATTCATAACGACCTTTCAAATACTGTCGATACAACACTGACCAACCTTTTCCCCTCCATGTGGGATAGTTACTTTTTTTTAATAAAAATAGAGCACCAAACATTGACATTAGTAGGGGAGTTTAGCTTCAAAGTCGTCGAAACCTACGCTATATAGATGACAAGAGGCACTAAAATCTATTTAGATCTTGTTAGTAATTATAATAATAATAATAAATACATTTATTGCTTTGCCTAATATACATATTATTACACTACAAAATATTAGATGGTACCACTTTAAGGCAAACAAAGACCTAATAAAACGCAGACATCCATCAAATCCAAACACTGTTCAAGCCACAATTTAATGTAAACCGAATTACCTTAAGAACAAGAAAAAAATTAGAATCAAATAAACAAAATAAAATGTGTTATAGAGAGTTTAGAATGCAGAAATTATTTTTTTTAAGTTTTGGTTCATATTCATAATCAAAAAGACTTAAATTATTTACTGTATGTGCCATTCTATAAGAAAATGATATTTTAAACATTTCTTTTCGATGTTGTGGTATTCTCAATATAATTTTTTTTCTTAGATTTAACTCATGAACATTAAAAAAGATGTTCGGGAGATGTATACTTAATTAATTAAATTAATTAAAATAACATTGTGAAACCTAAACCTATTGCAAATGGTAAGCCAACCCGAAACAGCTAAGTATGGAGAAATAGGATCCCGTCGGCGAACTCCATAAACAAGCCGCAAATATGAATTTTGTATTTTCTGGATACGATATTGGTCGGCAGCGTCCAGGCAAGTTGCGTACACACCACCGCAATGATTGAACTGCGACAAAACGATGGATTCACAAAGCAGTTTCTTTGTATACTTTGTATTCTTATCAAACATGCAACAAGTTTTTGTCAAAAATTTTTGATATTCTATCGGTGAAATTCTCGGGCCAAGGGCCTCAGAAGTGCTCAGAACAGTGGGTACCCTGTTTCCGTTGTATGTTACGTAGTTTTTAAACTTATGGTAAAGTGTGTCTTAAAGTATATCGTATTGACCTTTGACAGTCCCTCCTGAAAGAAGTAATTACGACCTTCATGCCAACCAATATGTAAAGGATTCATTAAACAAGCTTTTAAACAAGCCTCACCTACTTAAAAAACGCCAAAGTAGTGAACAAGATAAGAGGGAAAATATTTTATCTTTATCTAAACCAGATTGTTCCTCCTTTGGATTAACTCCAAGGGGAGCTAAAAGGAGATGAAAGCAATATAATTATTAGTCGTGCCCACATTGATACTTATTTGCAAAATATGAATCGCACAGATTCCTCACTTGGAGATTTAATTTCCCATAGGATATAAAAAGTTGAGATTCGAAGATAGGTGTTTAATTTCCACCATAGAGTATTCAAAGGCTGAGTTTATTGCTCTAAAAATTGTCAGATATAGGTACTTTTAAATAAAGGAAAAGGCATAACAAAAATTCACTCTGGATCAGAAGAGGGATTTATTCCAAACCATTGCTATTGTTTGCAAATAACATTAAAGACTCCATCTTGGACTACTATGAAAGTACAAATGCGGAACTTTTTGAAATTTGGTTTCCAAATTCCCTTTTGAAAAATTTTTGTTTCAGTATTATCATAATGGATAACCTAAGTTATTATAGCCGGCTGCTACGAAAAGCACCAATATTTGTTATAAAATGATAATAATTTCGAATCCA